TGACTATCGTTTGGATGATTCTTGGTTAGGATGGTTGCATGTTGATTTTGAGGGTATAAATATGTTGTATATGATGTACAAATTTTGTATGTTGTAGTGCATGTCATTGGGTTGTTGGCGTCGAGCGTGAGTAAAAAGACTCATCTCTACCTAGATTGATGTTGAGCGTTAATGGAGTGACGTCGAATGTGAGTTAGAAACATAGGCCCTTTACTTGATTGGGGTTTGGCGTAAGTTTCGCCATGTTAGACACAAAAGGGTCGAAGACTCTCTATCTCAACCACATCAAGCACATGAAGTTTGGCATCGTGCGTGGGCTAGATAAGGAGCCCTCTACCTTAATGGCATCAAGTGTCCTATACGAGTGGTGTCGAGCGCTAGTTGCATGATGAAAAGTTGTTGAAGTTTTTTAATAGTTGAACAATGATGAATAACTTGTATGAATGATGATGTATGATGATTAATCTGTATGTTGTGAGTTGATACATTATTTAATTATATTCATGTTGTTAAGTAGTAAGTTGATTAATGAATAAGTTGTATATATTGTGAGATGTTATAGTTGAATGAGTTTTTAAGTTGTATGATGTTTAAATTGCTTATGTTGTAAAGATGTACGATGTATAAGTTGTTTAAGCTGATAATTTGTAAGTTAAGAGTTGTAAAGTTATAGACATGTATGTAGATTAAATCCATGTCTTAGCTACGATACATAGAAACTAGATACATGTAAGTTGTTTTTGAAATTAGAATATTTCATTGTGTGAATATACATTGCGATGCTCTAAGAGCCTAGTTGAAACTCTTTAGTATGTAAATTGACCTTTGAATGGGTAAGCTATTTTTCAGTTTTCCCTTCTAGGTTTTGTAGGATCCATGTATGGGCAAGGTTGAGATACACGAGTAGAAAATGACCAATTGAGTAAAATACTGAGTTAGAGAGTTCGTCTCTAACTTAGTATTGAATGGGTATAGTACTTGGAGAGTAATCGATGGATTGATCCCATAGGTGACTTAGTGTTGGAAACTAATGTTATGGTAGGCCCGTACCCAGTTGTTCTACCTTGTCAATAATACTAGACTTCCTAGTTTAGGTGGCAAAATTGGAGAAATAAAATCAAGTTGTCTATACCTGGCACTCAGTGAGACATAATGTTGTTTATAACTAACCTGGTTGGTATAGGTCAAATTTTTTATTCAATAGGGTCTAGTCACTTAAAACGTTCACCTGAGTTGTAGGAGATTTCCAAAAGTTGAAATTAATGCATAACAATGCATTAGTTGTATATTATTTTAATGATGACTATGTTGTTGCAAGTTGTATGAGTATAATTGTTGACATATTGGATGTGTTGATGATGTGTTTTTTTTAAGTTATGAGTTGTTCATTGACATGTTATGATGTGATGGTTGTTGAAATGAGTACTGATTAGATGTAGTATGATGTAGATCTTAAGTTGAAAGTTACATGTTGAAGTTGACACTAAAATTTTATGTTAAACTATTTTCACAAGTTTATCCTATGTTTTTTCTTGTGCTTGGAATTCAATGATCATGATTTTTCATGAGAATAGGACATGATTAGTAGGATAACTTGTGCACTTAGTAGTGAGTCACATTGGCAATGGCTGTTTTGTTGATGGCTACTTTAATGTAGTCAGGTTGCGTATAGGTGCTTGATCGACACCATAAGGTCTATTTTGTATATAATTATGTATTTGTATAGTTGTACTTATGTTTGTACAGGATATGTATACAACTTGTGAGGGTTTTTACTTTTAGTAGCTTATATGTTGTTTATATAATTGTTACATGATTCCCCCATATGTTGTAAGTTGTATTTTCGTTTTGTAGTAGCCGAACTGTAGTAAATATAGTGGCATGCCAAGTCATTACAGTGTGTGTATCTATATGTATAGTTTTTAGTTATAATCCCACTGAGGGATTTATATTAATAAATTTAAATTGAATAGTTTTATACATATATCTATATATATATTGTTGTGTGTATATCTATGGATTGTTGCAGGGTAAATCCTAGGTAATTCGATTATGTTTTTTGTTGCCTAGTTTGTTGAACTATAAAGTGGAGGGACCTATCGAGTCATTACAAGGAAATATCCAATCATAGTTATATAGATTTGGGTACACTAGTGGAAAATCAGTCTTTTATGTCACCTCTTTGTCGTTGGACATACCAAAAACCGACGTAAAAAAGATGCGGTGACATTTTTGTAATTTTTGTGAACTTTTTTATGTCGGACATAAGGGAGTCCGACGTAAAATGTAAAATCTACGTCGGACACAAGATACAAATGTTTATAGATCAAAAGTCAAACATATACCCAAAAATAATAGTTAACACATTCTTTAGCTTTTCTGTTAAAATCACTTTATTACGATCAATTGTTGAAGTGTTTCTACGATTGGATTAAAAATAAAGATTTAATACTTTATTCTGTACCCAAACCCCTTCAAATTTAGCATAAATATATGGAAGATCATACTTGATAATACATTCAGCAAGTGCATCTCTATAAGTCTTAGAGTCAAATTTTCACTACTTCAATAAACTAACTTTATTATGCAATATGACCCCAACATATTGGTACTTAATTGGGAAATCCAATACATTTAGTAATATGATGTCTTAAATAATTAATACATGAAATAAGAGCAGAGAAATTCTCACAACAATTAACCTTAATTCTAAACTTGTAACCACAACTTTGTAAATGAACACAAAAGAGTGAAAGACTATTACTATTATTATATTATTTTATTATACCTTACAAATTTTCAAATTGACAATGATTGTAATTCAAATTATTTTTCTTATTAGTTTAATGGGCTAACTTAACTTGGGGGTCCATTTGACCTGTCAAACTTAATTAGTGTGGGTATGGTCAACGTAACCTAGTTTTATTTAAATCATTTTTTTTAAAGTCCTATTTGACTTTATTTATTGATTGATCACATCAATTCATCAGATCAAGCCTAAATTGACAACTCTATGACATTGATACACATAGATATTTTCAATTGTTTATATTATTCTTTAATTATTTTCACATATTAATTATTTATGAACCTATCTCAAATCTAACATCAAACGAAACCACACTCGATCATATCATGCTTTAACATCCAATATGTGAAGTTATATTACATATACAAATTTGTAAAGAAAGAAGTAATGCCGAAATATATGTCAAAAGAAAAAGTAATACCCAAATTAATTAACTTTTAGGCATGTTCCAACCTAATAACATGTTATCGGTTTGACAATATCATAATAACCTCTAAGCTGTACATTTCATAACCCCAAATAGTTTTCTCCAACACTTTATCCTTTACATAACTATATATCCACATAAAAAAAAAATAAGTCAATTACATAAAACGTACGTGGCTAATTATATAATTGCTTGACAAACCAAAGTCAGTCAAACATCGTGTGCTCCTTGCAGAAATGTCCCAAATTAAGAGAAAAAGCTAAACATAATTGAAAAAGAATGGTGAAGCTTTTTTTCATTATTATTTAATGATAAAAGGACTACACGCCCTCCTTATATACAAAAAGGTACAGCTGTACAGAAAATATATCAAAAACATTTTGTTAAATCTTGCAAAGTTGTTTTACTCTTATACTTGATATATGTTTATTTTTTAATATTAATTTACACTTGCATGTTTTTTTATGATTGGACTATAATGATTTATATAAGAGTAGAGTATGATTAGACCAGAGGCAAATATTAGACCAGAGGCAGAGGCAGAGATTTATATTAGACCAGAGGCAGAGATGTTTTGAAGGTCATGTCTGAAGATAGCATGTTACTATTTGGTCGGGTTACTCAAATATAACTTGTTGATTTAGTTGTTACTTGATTAACGTACAATTTAAATTTATATTTCAATTTTTGGATCACAGTATATATATATATATATACAAGATGATATAGTTCCACTAAGATATACATTTACTATTTAGTTAATTTATTTCTATGCATATATTATTGTATGTATTTTTAAGAATTGTTTGCATTTAACTTGGATAGTTATTTTATCTTTCCACTGCAAGTAGTTAGATAGTTATGTGGAGAGATTATGATAGATCATTACACTCGAATTACAACAAATAACACCGTGACCCAATCACTCATGGCAACCATTGATGAGACCCAAGCATCATCCTTTACAGAACCACAAAGCTAAGCCACACACACACCAGAAACAATTACCCATCAAACTTGGGAGATAATGAGGAGGAGGACGCTATTGGTGTACGTTTCTACGCATCTTGCGATGGATAAGTGAGGTACAATGGTAGCAAAATAAGATAAACATTAACAAGATAAAAATTGTAAAGATAAACAGGAATTTTTTTTTCTGAAACTAATGTATTTAAGTCATAAATATTTTACATTATTAGTCCTATTGTTTTCACACATTTTGGGAAAGGTAATCAATAAACAATTAAACTAGACCTTATCATTGTGCCGCTATAATATTCTAGTCATTAATACTTATTTTATAGTTGATCTCACACGAAACATCAAACGAAATCAAACTAGATCAATCACACATGCATTCCAAGATATGAACTCATTTTATATTCCATATAAATTTGTACAGAAAGAAGTAGTCCAAAGTTTCACACACAAATCCAACCTAATAACAACGTGCTATCGGCTTATCAAAATATAATAATAACCCCCTAGATGTACATTTCGTAACCCAAAATAATTTTCGCTAAGGTTTTAAGATTATATATTTAGATAACTGTATTTACAATCAGTTAACTATATTGATCGAGACAAAATGTATTATTTCAAGATAAACCAGAGTCAAACATAGTGTATTCCTTTAAAATATATATGTCCAAATCTTCATTATAAGATATTTAATTATCTTTATTCACCACATGAGCAATTGGAAGAGCATAACATCGACTATAAAAGAAACTACCATAACCATCAGTATTCACAACTGATCAAATTTAGAAGAAAATTGTGCATGGAAATAAGGGAGAGAAATGGAAAGTATCAGCTCCATTTCCATCAAGCTTTTGATGCTACTGGCTCTAGTCAACATCTGTGTTTCACAGGATTTTGATTTTTTTTACTTTGTACAACAGGTGAGCATGACATGCATGAGCCATTTTTCCTTATCCATTATGTTGTGCTCTTTCATAGAGTATATAATACTAGTATAATATATTATACATCCTTATGGATGAGATCATGGAAGTTTAGTTTACAACATGGAATATCATGTGTATGACTTTTCCTTTTCCCCTTGCTCACTGCAGTGGCCAGGTTCATTCTGTGACACACAAAAAAGTTGCTGCTTTCCTCCAACAGGAAAACCAGCAGCGAACTTCAGCATTCATGGACTTTGGCCAAATTTCAGCAATGGATCATATCCATCCAATTGCAATATTGCCGAAAACACATTTAACCAATCTAAGGTACATGCTACCACATTTAAATGCCACCATTTTTCTTCTGTTTTCCATTTGTAATAGTTGTTAAAATTAATGTGTACATTTTTAGCTGGTAGAAGTAGAATAACAAATCTAAAGTGATACAAAGAGTGCACATTGAAATAAATAATCCGTTATTTTTTTATGGAGCAGATCATTGACCTGATTCCAAGAGCAGAAACGAGTTGGCCATCACTCTCTTGTGCAGGAGGCAAGACAGATAAAAACATAACAAACAGTGATAATAAAAGATTCTGGAAGCATGAATGGGACAAACATGGCACTTGCTCTGTCAAAAACCTTGATCAGCATGCATATTTTGAAGCTGCTTTGAACTTCAAGGACCGAGTAGACCTCCTTCAAATCCTTCTATACAATGGTAATTTTGATACGCCAAATATGCTGTAGATCTCCTGATTCACTATATATTTTCTTTGTTCTTAGTTCAAAATGGACCTAATCACAAAATAATATTCTCATAACAGTGTGTGTTAATGCATGTCAGATATTCTTATATATATGTATATATAAATCTAGTATTTCTGTTCTTGGTGTAAACCAGTAGTGTGATATATGATGCAGGAATCAAACCAGATGGAAACTTTTACAGCGTTGTCAGCATAACAGAAGCAATAAAAGAAGCAACTGGGTTTGAACCTGGCATAACATGCAACACTGATCCATCTGGTAATCGTCAGCTTCATGAGATATATCTTTGTGCGGATACATCAGCCTCCAACTTCATTGAATGTCCAATACTACCAAATGGGAAAAGTTGTTCAGAAAAGGTTGAGTTCCCCATCTTCTACCAGTTATGGGAAGAACTCTAGGAATATCGAAATCTGGCCTATCAGCCCAACTTTCCAATTTTAACTTTGTTATCCGATGTAACAATTATTCGTATAAATAACGGATGTACCTTTTTATAATGGCAATAAGGGATGTGCTTCTGCTTCACTACTGCATTTTCCTACATCAAATACCCATATAATCTTCTATTCCAATTAAGAGAAAATCGAACAAGTCTTGTACGAGAAATTATCATGTATAGTTCGGATCCTCTATATGTGTTTATGATTTCTAAGTGACACACCGACACGTATTCTAGTTTTTCAATTTATGATATAACAATCGATTAAGTGTCATATAGAAATTAGTGGCAGCAATAATTTATCATTATTATACGACAATGGTGAAGGGATTTCTATGCAGCCACTTGGGTATTACTTATTGCTGGTTGAACTTTGCTCCATATATATAAAGAGCGCGCATGTGTTTTCTCCTGCCCAATTACACACTAATAAACTGTCATTCACGTGAATGCATTACCTTGAATAAAGGAATTGAAATACATACTCCATTATTTATTCTTTGAAGAAAAATAAAATGAATTTAAAAGGATAAAAGATTTGATTTATTTAGATTTTAACTTTTAACTTTTAATTTTTATTTATGAAAAATAGAGGGTATAAAAATAAGAGACTTTGTTACGGGACATTCACTACATGCAATAAAATGTATTTTTAGCCATATTTGTACATTTATGAAAATGTTATTATAAATTAAGTTAATAGATTATTACAACATTCTTTATTTAGAAAATGTTATTTAGAATAAAGTAATTTTTTTACCTTAATATTATTCTTTTTAATTATTTCTCAAAATTAAAGTCTCATATTAAATAAAGAATGACACATAAAAAATATATTTTTTTCAATCTCTCATTATTTTTTAAAATTAAAGGTTTCACATTGAATAAAAGAGTATATAATCAAAGAGTAAAACTTTAAATAAATAAACTTTGATATTTGATTTAGATTTGGTTGTCACTAACTTAAGGATGCATTCAAATTTAAAGGACTTCTTGAAAGGAGCTATAAAATAAAAGTGACAACATTATCTATTTTAAAATTAATTATTATTTTATAAAGTTTACAAAAACTAAACAACATTATTAAAATATTATAAAAATATCACTTTAGTAACATTTTTAAAATGTTTTCATTAATATATAAAAATATTACTGAAAATTTTTAGTAACACAAACTTTATCTTACATTTAATAAAATATCATAATTAAAAGTATATTAGTAACATTTTTTACTCATAATTTAGCAACATTAATGTTACTAAAATGCATCTTGTTGTAGTGATTGGTAGAGATATAAATCATCCACTTGATAGTGTTAGACTTATTAAATTGGTTGAGTTGTCTCTTGATGAACCAACTTCGAAATTATGCTTCTTTTAGATGATAGTAACAAGAGAGAAAAGAGTAATATAGTTAAAGTTGGACAATAATTTAATAATGATGTTTTTTATGCATAAAATTATTATATAAAACCAATATTAATTTTAAGCTCTACAAGAGATGTTATTATTAATATAATTAACTTGATATGAGTAAAAACTGTATTTTTGTTGTTATGGTCACAAATATATATTTTTTTCTTTTTGTAAATTGTAATCACCATATACATAAATTAATGAGAAAGAATTAATGTCTCTTTATCATTATCCTACATCTATATAAATATTTTTATAAAATTTTATTAATATATCTTAAACTTGTCGTATTCTAAATTTTAAAAAAATTATGGTATTTTTGTATTCGTGTCATATCTGTGTGCTATTAAATATCTTAGCTTCATTGCAAATAGGATTATATTTAAGGAGGATAGATGTAAAAAATTATGTTGATGATCTTGTATTTCCCAATAAATAGTAGTGTTGAAAATAATCTGTTGCTACTACTACTCTTATACGAAAATGTTGTTATTCTGAAACAAAATTGGAACAAGTAGAGGGTCTGGTTCATAGTCTTTGAAGGGGAACCTCCTACTACAGTTGGGTTTACAGTCCTCCAATAGAGACTGATCGGTTAGACTTTTGCTTATGTGGAACTCAGACAAAGGAAAATTTGTTTTTTTGTTCTTTTTTTTTTCGAAGGTGTTTTTGGGTGTATGCTTAAGCTGGGAGCAAATTTCATTACATTGTTCCACTGTTTACGTGTCACTACTAAAATTTCTCTTATTACATATGATTTTTCTTGCGAATTTTGTATTAAAATTTGCACCAAACATTATTTTTACAAATTTTTCTGCGAATTTTATCTGCATGTAATATCTTCGTAGATAATATATTTTTGCGAATTTTAAAATTCGCAAAAAATTTTCTTGCGAAAAAAATTCGCATGAAAGTTTCCTGCAAAACAAAATTGGCAGGAAAGTTTCCTGTGAATTTTTTTCCAAGAAATTCTACAAGAATATTTTTTACGAAAAAATTAAAAAAAATTACTATAAATTCTATCAATAATTCTTCAACTTTCAAATGCTTACAATGAATTCATCTGAAACATTTGTTTCCACGCCTCCAACATGTGATACATAATCCTTTAAACTCTAAGATTATTGATTATAAGCCTAACATTCAACCATACAAATCACTTGTAAGGTAAGTAATGTCCCAACTTATATACTCTTTAATTGTTTTATTTTCATTCTATGTGAGACTTGAAGTTTTTTTTAAAATGTTGAACTTATAAATTCAAATATTTTTTTTAATTTTTCTTGCAAATTACAATTGGCAGGAAAATTCGCAAGAAAAAGTTACCTGCGAAATTTTTTTACCATTTAGTAAACATTACTTGCGATTTATTTTTGTAAGAAAATCTGTAAGAAACAAAATAAAATTCTTACAATATTTTCTACAAATTTTTACCATGGAAAAAAATTTATATGATCATTAAAATTGTTGCAAAAATTGCAAAAATTTCTTATAGATTATTTTTCATAAAAAAAAACGTAAGAAATATCAGTAAATTATTTTTCACAAATAAATTCGTAAAAAAAAATTTGTGAAATTATTATTACAAGAAAATTCGCAAAATAAATCTGCGAATATTTTTTTGTAGAAAAATTTACTGGAAAATGAAAATTTTCTAGTAGTGTGTATTCACATGTAACTAGCTTGAAGAAAAGGAAGTTCCAAAAAGAAATTTCGATGTCCAAGAGGAGCTTTTGAAGTAGCTTTAGACGGGTGATTTTAATCCACTATAATAAAAATGATTTGTTGTGATAGATAAAAATTGTTATTAAAAATTAAAAAAATTGTAGGTTAATATAATTTTACATCTATATATTCACAAATAACCTATATGTTCATTATGTTAGTTAGTTGTATAGTAATAACTTTTTTAAGTTTTAAATTTTGTAAGTATTTGAATTTTATCTCTATTAAAAATTTATAAGTTGAAATAGTTTTTGATTTTATCTACGTTTATCATGTATGTAAAAAAAATAAAAATTTAAAAGTCTAAGTAATGTTGAAAGAGAAAGAAAGGGTACTAGTTCTGCAGGCAGTACTAAAAATATGGTTTAATTCCAACAATTTGTGAATGGAATGGACACATGCACGATCCTCTAATCGAGAAGAAATTCACCATTTAATTAAAGTGATCATTGGCTCTGCTATGAGTTGAATTCTTTATAAAGGATTGCTCATTGTATGGAATATTTCTCCACAGTGGATGGGATTAGAGACTTCTCTTGTTATTGTCCGTCAAAAACCTCTTAAATTAAATAACAGTTGACAATGACATTCACGATTTACTCGAAGCAATGAAATAGACAAGAAATGAGTGTGTGAAAATGAGATAGTAAAAAATAATTATGTTTGACATGTAAGAGATGAAAGAGGTGAAAAATAAAATAGTGTGAAGTTTAAGTGACAAAAAAAAGAACGAATAAATTCGCCCCCATAAGAAATTCAATCGATTAAAGCATGTTTTCAATCAATTAAATGGTCTTCTTTTATGTAAAGCATATAGAATCACAAATTAAGATCCTCTGCAGTTTCTTTATAAAATGCATGCATTTTAGCCCTTGAAAGAGTATATATGCTTTAATAAAAAAATTGTAAGTGCTGTTACTATGAAGTGTTGGATCTAAACTGCATAAGGTACAGTTCATTTTAGAACTCTAGAGGATTCATAACCATAGAATTACTGTTTTTTTTTTTTCACAGAACCACTGTTTTAAAATAGTGATTTCAATAAATTGTAATTTTATTATAATGAATTTTTTTTACTTTAATAGATTAAAATAAAAAATAGTTAATAAAAAATTAAAATACCTTTTATTATTTAATTTTTATTCATTCCTTAATTTAATTTTAATTTTTCTCTTCTCTACTTTTATATACTTTATTTTCCACTTATTTCTTTTTATCACACATAATATTATGTTTCTTCTATTTCTTCTAAATCAAACAACATTATTTATACTTTATTTTTAATTAATTTTTATTTATTTATTTCTCTCTTCTATATTTTTTCACTTTATTTCTTATCTATTCCTTTTTTCTCTATTAAACACACATGACTTTGTAGAGCAGGGTTGGAAATTGTTATATGTTAATTTTATTTCAAGGAGAGAAACTTAAACCAGCAAAGAGTAGGATGATTGGGTGGAACAAAAGGTCTTTGAGTTTTTGAATTTTAACATGAACAATTTGACTAAAGAGGTAAATGAGCCACATAACAAGGCTGTTAGTAGCAAATTTGGAGGACGAGAGGAGGTCAATCCCCCATGAAAAAAAAAATTATGACGTCTTTCATCGGTTGTTATACAGGAACAACTAATGCAAAAAATGATGCAGTAATATTTTTAAAAATTTTGTAAATTTTACAATATTAGTTATTATTTCACCGATGCAAAAATGATATTTTTGCATTAGTTATTCATTTAACTAAAGTAAAAAGAACAAAGACTAAGGTGCACCACTTTTATCCACGCATATTGATCTCATCTTATTATCAAATCATACATTCTCACACAATATCTAACTCCCTCACCACCCATCCCATTCTCTGACCTTACTCTATATATGACACCCTTACTACTCCAACACATATATTATAATAATAAAATTAACGAAAAAATTCTCAACGTTACTAAAAGGGTTCACATAAAAATCTTCACAAATGTTCTTCAATATCCAATTGATTGAAAATAAAACTTGGAAAGTAACCCTTAAGAGTTTACAAATTGTTTTCAAAATAATAAATACAACTCCAAATTTATATAAAAATCCATGTCCTAGAAATCTTCTGCCCCAA